GACAACAGAAAAGTGGGTGAAGGGAGACGTCAGACAGTGTTAAGATATGACAAAATAATAATTTATAAATTATCAAGAGTTCATGAAGGAGGGAGGAGCAGGGAGGGAAGGGAAAAATGAGCTGATACCAAGGGCTCAAGCAGAAAGCAAATGTTTTGAGAGTGATGATGGCAACAAATGTACAAATGTGCTTGACACAATGAATGTATGTATGGATTGTGATAAGAGTTGTATGAGCCCCAATAAATTTTTTTTTAATTGTGGGGAAATGGAATTAAGAGATAATGGAGTTGTTCCACCCACTTTTTGAAGCTCCTTCACATTCAGTATATATTCTTCTTTACCTCCATCATGTAACATCAACTGGATTTCCCCTGGGTAATCAGAATCAGTCACACCACCCAGTAGGGTAACTCCCTTCTTTGTCTACTGACCCAGAGGCAGGAGGAGCCCAAAGTGGCTGGGTGGCATTCTCAACTTCCAGTTCAATGAAGCCAGTGCTGTGTCCTGGTTGGGAGCATTATTCCCTTTGGAAGAGACCTCTAGACCCACAGGGCATGGCATAGCCTGAACAGGAACCAAAAGTGTTGCCAGTGGGCCACCAGGAGTGACAGTGCGTGGTGCCACTCCCACCTCCATCCCAATTCCTGGACCTGTGAATCCTGGTGAGTGGAGAAATATCACTATGGTTTAGACACTGACTTAGAGCATACACCACCCTTGGAGAACATTGCCCCAAACCTGCTAGGTGTCCCCATCCAGCTGTGAAGTGATAGTAAGCCTTCCTGAACTGTTGGCGCCCCGTGTGTTTTGTTTGCCTTTGTAGTTTAGCTCAGGATGAGTTAATCGGCCTGGCTATCTTCCTTTAGAAGTTAGGTGACTGAAAGAGAGGAGCTGACACCAAGGGCTCAAGCAGAAAGAAAATGTCTTGAAAAGGATGATGGCAACAAATGTACAGATGTGTTTGATACAATGGATGTATGGATTGTGATAAGAGAGCTGTAAGAGTTCCCAATAAAATGATTTATTAATTTAAAAAAATTAAAATTACAGTTTCCAAAAAAAGTTAGATTACTGTAATTCTTATGGAAATAATTTAAGTCAAATCCAAACCAAAAACCAAATTCACTGCCATGGTGTCGATGCTGTCTCATAGCGACCCTGTAGGACAGGGTAGAACTGCCCCTGTGGGTTTCTGAGGCTGTGACTCTTTACAGGAGTAGAAAGCCTCATCTTTCTCCCATGGAGCAGCTGGCAGTTTCAAAATGCTGACCTTGCAGTTAGCAGCCCAACATATAACCAATTCCACCAAGGCTTCTTGTTTTAAGTAAAGAGGAATATTAAGTATATTCATAGTGAAATAAGTGGAGTTCAAATTTTTGTCATTTCAGTAATGCTTTAAATTTCCATAGTATTAGGATCGAATCACATTAATAGGTTGTAGTCTTAGGCTAAATACTAGGAGTGTTTATTAGAGAGGAACTAAACTGAAGTTTATTCTTTTGAGTCCCCGGAAAAAAGCAAGATAAACTGTTCAACTGCGCTGTCAGTGGGGCACAACCGTCACTGGCCAGTGGAGCAGAGGAGAGCAGAAAGAAGGGGACTCGGTGTGTGTAGACCACACTCTGCACCCACGCGCTCAAAAAACCAAACTCCCTGTCTTCAACTCAGTCTGACTCTTAACACCCTTTGGGGCAGGCTGTGGGGTTCCAAGACCGCACGTCCTTGTGGATCCCAAACAAAAACAAACGCACTGCCAAGGAGCTGATTCTGACTCACACTGACCCTACTGAACAGGGCAGACCTGCCCCCGTGCGTTTCTGAGACTGTCACTCATCTTTCTCCCGAGGAGTGGCTGGGTTTCAAACTGCTGACCTGTTAGCAGCCCAACAAGTAACCACTGCACCACCAGGGCTCCCTTTAGGGGACAAACTACAGGAGTATTAAGTGTTCTTTTCCCAAACTTCTCCTCTTTCCGTGTATAAAAACCCCTTCCTTGGTTTAAGGAGGCACAGAAACAAAATCTCACTTCCTTTGCTACACTGATCCAGCAGATCAAATTTTCTTCTTGCCAAAAGCCCATGTCTGAGTATTTTGGCTCGACTTTGGCAGCAGAGAGAGACGTGGCTTCCATAGCAAAAAGCTATATTTGTGCTAAAAAGGTCATTCTATTTTACTCTCAAACTAGCTGCTTCAGAACAACAGGGAACATGCTAAGACCAATGGATTCACTGAACATGGGCCTATTACCTCATTTCATTGGCTGGTAAGTGAGCTCCCTGATCCACAAAGGCTGTGAAGGACACTGTGGTGGGCAATAAAGCAGAAGCATTGTATGTGGAAAAGGCAAACGTGCACGCACAGTGTTCTGTTCCTGTAAGAAGAAAATGATGCCCTCTCCATGACGGAAGTGGTCCTGTGTAATCAGCCAGTAACCTGGTGGCAGGTTGCTTACAGGGGACCACTTCCATCAGAGAGGAATGGTGCAGCTTGAGGAATGTCACAGACCCAGTGTTGGTCTCTGTGGTTGGCAGACGGAGTGGGTACTTAGCAGTGGCTAAAGCCAAGTCATACTTGGTGTGAGTGAGACTCAATTAATTTGGCCCTTCCAGCCATGATACCTTACTTATAAGGGATTATGTGGCTGTGGCCTCATGTTGGAAGGCATGATCTGCTAACAGGAATGGGACAGGACTGCATTCTGGTTTTAGTAGAGGGTCTGAATGGGGCCACTCTGTTTAATGGTTATTGTAGGCACCCTTACTTATAATGGATGGAAGGAACTATGTGCTACTACTGAGAGGAGAAAGAAAACAATTTCTGGAGTGGCCTCGGAAAAGGCCTGGCTAATTACGATGAGTAGGTCAATGCCTACTGGAAACATCTTGCCAAAGAAGGTAGGGTAAGATACTAATAGGGTTCACCTGTTAAGTGAACAGGATTCCCTATAACGTCATCCTACTGGGTATAAAATGAGTCTACTGAGAAGCAAGAGGTGTGATCTTATCACCAGCAAGAGCCAGAGTGCGTCCTTTGGCACCAGCATCTGGTTTACCCCTGCCTGGCCTTCAAGCTCTGGACTGCGCTGCACCCACCAACATGAGAAATGTCCTTGAACTTAATGAGTTCCGTGGGATTTGCAAAATCAAGAGGCATGAGATAATATATTCAAGGGAGGAGTTGGGGGTGGAGAATGGAACAGGCAATCATCTCACAAGAGTGGGACTTTTCCAATCTCCAACTTCTTTGGACGAGTATGTTAAAATTCTTAGAAGTTATTACCACAGAGTGAAAGTCTGTACTGCTGAGTCCAGGCATAACCTTTGTTCATGAGCCCATTAGGCAACGGCAGTGGTGGCTGGGGAAAGGATTAGACAAACAGGTTCCAGAAAGTACAAAACTCACGTCATCCCCAAGGAAGCTGCCCTTCCAACTGCCGGCTGACCACAAATGATTACATGTCTGCCAAACCACTAAGATTCATGGTCTAACCAAGTTACCCCCAAGACATCTGCAGTCTGACCAGGGAAAACACCATTTATGGAGATCACCCCCCCTATGAGGTTTGTGTGGTGGTCATGCATTGGACTGTGATCCACACGGTCAGCAGTTCAAAACTACCAGCTGCTCTGAAGGAGAAAGATGGGATTTTCTACTCCCCCAAATTCACAGGGGGCAGTTCTACACTGTCCTGTAGGGTTGCTGAGTCAGCATAAACTCCATGGCAGTGTTTCACTAGGAGCCAGACCCTAATAGACTTTATACCTCCTATGTGTTCTACACTACGTATGCATTCGCTTGCCACAGGGAGTGCAAAAGCAGTGAACATTCCATCTATCGATACCGTGGTTGTTGAACTCAACTCAAATATCTGTTCATATACTGAAAAGTCTGAGAACGGAGCCTATTTTTCCCACAAGGAATAACGGAAAACCAAATCGTTGGTTTTGAGCCCCAAGGTTACACTTATACATTCATTTTCCAGGACTTCCCATCGTTATGGAGGCTTTCGGCCTTCTCACTACTGCCTCAGGCAGGCTGTCGCCATCCAGTCGTCTCCGATTTATCTACATGCCCAGCGACTTCAACCTCCTCCATGGGCTATTTCATGGTTAATGAGTCCACACTTTTTGCTACTTTAGCTAATTTAATCAGTTATTTTTTCAAATGTGGATAATGTTGACTTAGCCATGTATTCAGCAGCCAAATCAGACAAGTGGTGACCCGGTTGGGTATCATTCACTTTCTTTGGCGCCATGGTTACGCTATTTCACACACAAAAAGCACAACGATGACTGTTTTACACACTAACACAAGCACTACATGTGTCCGAGGGGAGACGCCATGTATGACTCACTCGATGCCCGTACAGGTTTCTTCAAGTCAGATTTTCAGTTCGACTATCGAGCAAAGTTACAAACACCAAGCAGATTTTTTTTCAAACTTTCTTGTTCAAGTAGTGGAAAGTTCGAGCTTGTAGCCGTTTGACAACTGAGGTATCACTGTAATCAAAACATAAGAATTAAAACAATACCTCTATATTCTTTAGCTTTAAAAGTTTTAATCCTGTAAAAGTTAAGATTGGGAACTGCCTTTCTCTCATGTCCAAGAGGGAGGAAAAATGCAGCCTTTCATTTAAAAAATAAAGCAAACACTGGGGTGAGGGGAGTGGAGCTTTATTTTAAACAACATCCCAGCGTTACATGACTTCATGTCATAAAACTTCCACGCTGGGGGTGTTCTCGATGCTTTCTTCTGATGGGCGCATGCCCTGTTTTCTCACGAGTTCAAAACAATGACGGTGTCTTTTCTACTGGTAGATCCTTCGAGGCTCCTCTAGCGTCACACCGCCTTCTGTCATAGCATTTTGCAGTCGCTGGATCTGGTGTGAAGGTTTAAAAAAAGAAAACGAACTAAGTTAGCATTTTAAGTAAGGCTCAATAACAGTAGCTCATTTGACAAGTGAGAGAAAGATAAACACAAAGATTTGCTCCTTGCAAACTTTACAGCCAACATTGTTTAAGAAACTGATCTTCAGAATGAAATAGGTACAAAAACAGGGAATGCAGAGATAGGAAAAACAGATTGCATTTTAAAATATCAGATGTAAAAGATGTTAACACATGAATGAGCAAGTACAATGGTTGACACTGTGGACTACAAAATCAACTACCCTGGGTAAGAAATGTAGTCTGTCAACATGAGCATGTTTATTTATGCATAAAATGGTAATAACCAACTCTACCTTTATGGCTAAGGAGACAAGCGGGTGTAATGGGTAAGCACTCAACTACTAGCCCAAAGACTGACAGTTTCAACCCACCAGCCACCCGTGGCTCTGAGGAAGAAAAGGCATAGTGCCTGGCGTCTGTAAAGATTACAGCCTCAGAAACCCTACTGGGCACTTCTACTCTGACCAGAATCTTCTTGCCGGCTCACCACCACAACCACTTTTCTGGAATGCCGTGAGACTGAAGGAGGTAATGTATATCAGAATATCTACCCCAGCGCCTGCCTTTTTCTTTTTAATGAGTTACTTGACAATTTTTTTTTATGAAAGTCTTTGAAATGCTATATGTATTTGACTTATTTTTATGTTCACAGCATTTTATTAAGAGCTGATCCAGACATCATACCATTCTGTAGTTCAGTCGCATCAAGCAGTGTTGTACAGTTGCTACCACAATCAGTTATGAAATATTTTCTTCCTTCTTGTACTCCTTGATGTCGGCTCCCCATTACCTACCCACCTCCTGGCCTTCCTCCCTACAAACCCTTATTCCAGTTACTGTCTCTGTAGGGTCATCCCTCTGGGCTTCATGCACCGGAAACAGAAATACCTAACAGAGAGTCAAGAAGCTACCAACTGCAAAAAATATATAAGCGGTAAAGCACAATATGAAAAAAAGAAAACCAAGTAGAAAATAGGAAAAACCAGATAAGTACAAAGTATCTAAAGGGAGATCAGGTGACAAGGTTTTAACCTTTTAAATTAGATTTATATTTTATTCTACCAAGTTGTCTCTACAAAACTGTCTGATTATCCAGTTATTCCCATCCCTCAATGATGGTAGAGGGAAATCACTGGAGGCTTACGTCCTGTGTGGATCCTGCAAATGTGTTTTGGGCCTCTAATCCATGCACAGCCTTCTGCACACCAGAATCTCACAACTTAAGCTCTCAGTACTATTCCTTCCTTCTGACTTGGATGACATAATTTACAATCCTTGGGTCACAGGTATTGGTGTGCTTCTTCTATGTGGGCTTAGTCAACGTCTCACTTAGATAGCTACTCGTTTGATACAAGTCTTTAAGGGCCCAGACTTGATTTTTTCTGATAGCCAGGCACCATCTAATTTCTTCACCACACTCTGCTATGGCACTCATATCTTCCATGTCTCCTTCAAGAAGGTGACTACTAAGCCGGGCCATGTTGTAGGAACTAATTGCTGTTAGACTGGAGGGAGGATTAAATATGAGACCAAAATTCATTCCCGAATATGTTTTCTATCCGCCTCTAGTTCACCTTAGAGATATCTTAGTTGTTGCATGGTAGAGGATCTTATAGATCCTCCTTGGACCATAAGGACCTTCTGTTTATAGTGTCATTGCTTTAGCCCATGGTAATAATTTTAAAACACTATTAAGAAAAGGAGATTGAACAAGTGTAGGCTAACTTCAAATCGCAATACATGAATGATTGACTTGTACAGAATAAATCCTACGTGACTGGACACTATTTACTCAACCAATGGGAGCTGGTGGTCAGGCAGAATGTACAATAATATCCACTGACAATGTCGGACACAGTCTGCCAGAATAGTACATCCTGCTTGTGCTATTAGTGTTACTACGTAAGTAAAACACACTTACCGAGTCGGAGGCTGCCTCCCAAGGGGTGGGCTGGTAGACCATGAAATTGATTCCCGCCCGTAAGCACCGCTCTGCTAGTATCTTCCCTACACTCTCACAGGCCACCACATTGGTGGTCCGATACAGGTGCTTTTTGATAGCCCATTCACGAGTGGATGCCGAAACCACAATCTTGCCATTTCGATGCTCAACAAATGCTTCGACATGATGCTGAGTCCTTATAACTCGCAATCTAAACAGAGAATAAGATAATCTACTCTAAATTTAATCATTACAAGTAAATAAATGCTTACATATTGCAAGAATGCAATGTCCAGATTTACTTCAAAATACATAACCTAGTTCTTATTTTGGAAAGGTGTTCTTTTCCTGCCTCTTAGAGGATGCGCCCCAAAACAATAAGCCAACCATTTCTACTTTAACCTAAAATATCAAGGAGAAATTTGCTATTTCTGAAAAAATGGTGTTTATTTTATGAAGAGATTTTCATGGTAAGACATGTCATTCTGCATAACTGCTTTTTAAAAAAATCAATTTATTGGGGCTCATACAATTCATCACAATACATAGATCTATTGTGTAAAGCACATCTATACATTTGTTGCCCTCATTATTCCCAAAATTTGCTTTCCGGTTCCCGAAATAATAACTGTTTTGTTTTTTTGTTTTTTTAACATTTTATTAGGGGCTCATACAACTGTTATCCCAATCCATACACACATCAATTGTGTAAAGCGCATTTGTACATCGTTTCTCAAAACATTTTCTCTCCATTTAAACCCCCGACATCAGGTCTTCAATAACTGCTTTTTTTATGGCAAGAATAAAATAATAATACTATAAGAATACAAATAACAAGTGAGAAAGAAAAGACCATCATCAATGTTTAAAAATGCTAGGGAGGCCGGCCACAGAAGGGTCTCCCAGTCAGACTGGGAAGCGCGGCCTGGCTCAGCATCTCTCAGCAAGCCAGGTATTGAATTTCCGGGATGGTTGGGGAAGTCAGGATTTGCCTAGGTCCTCCCCGAAGGCCAGGCAGCATAGTTCAGGGTACGCCTGGGGTCTCCAAGGACGCAAGGAAAACGGACTTCCTGCCAGCCTGGGGAAGCGAGGCTTTCCCCGGAGTCTTTCTTTAAGCCACGCAAGGGACTTCAGACCAGGCTGAGGAAGCGCCCCTTCGCCTGGCATCGGGTCTTTTGCTTCCTGAAGGTCAGTCCAGGGGGACAATATTGGACTTTTGATTTTGGATGGCTATGGCTACTGTGCTTTCTTGAGAGGCACTGTGCGTTTATGTAAAACACTCTTTATTCATGAGTTTCTGTGAATTTGGTTCTCCAAATTCCCCAGACCATCACAGACTTTTGTTTTTTGGTAGATATGTTTATGATGCTTTCTTGAGAGGCAGTGTTGGTTTATATAAAACACTCCTCATTCACGAATTTTTAAGAATTCGGTTCTCAAAATTCCCCAGACAATCACAGTCACGTAGCTGCACGAACGTCCCTTCAGTCATATCTTTCGCCATTTTTACTTCCATGAGCATCATATTTTTCTCTACCTACAATATTGACACACGAGAATGCTTGAAATCCGTTGAAACTTTGTCAGGAAAGGTCAGTAATTGCTTTTACATCATTTCACTGGTGCTTCAACCGCTTTCTCATATCTTAGGTCCAGACTTATCTCCAGGAGATTCTTGAAGTAATTATCCTTCTAGTGCTTGGCTTGCTGTACTAAATGGGGTCTCAACATTTTGACTTATTTCCGCCCAACCCTTACCTCCTTGACTTGCTTGGATGGGAAGGAAAACCGTGTGTCCTGCATTTCTGATTTGACTCACCTGCGGTTATGTTTTTCATTTCAAGAGTCTTCAGAGGAATAAATATTACTGTGGTCAACAATCAAAAAAAAAAAAAATGCTAGGGAGGCATTTTGTCATGGGACAAGAAAGAAATGCTTGAGCCCAGAACAAATTCAGGTTGGGTCAAGAAGGAGGTCAACTAACCAAGGATCAAGTTCAAGCCAGCATCTCCAAGTTTATGATCTCTGACAGTAAAGCTGCTTGAGTCCCTTGCCTGTAGCTAGAGAGGATCTGCCAAGGCTTAATCTGACTACACACTCTGCAGCTGGATTTTGGGCTCCCACTGTCCTCCGTTGCCTTATGCAAATTGGGTGTTCACAAGTTAAGCTCTAACACTTTTCCCTTCGTCATATTTGGATTTTGTTGTCATCTTTGGATAACACAGGCTGGCGTACTTCTTCCTTTTGGACTTGACTCCTAACTTAGATGGCCCAGACACTGTTTCCAATTGATATGCCAGCAATGACACAATTAAGAGGAATGGCATTTGTTGTCAACAAGTTTATTTCAAGATCTAGCTTGAAGTGCAGTGCTGTATGTAATAGGAGAATCTCTATTGGCCTTCAAGGAGATTCAGTTAATACAACTATTAGTCAAATGTATGCACTAACCACAAAAGCTGGTGTTGGAAGAAACTGAAGAATTCTATCATCTTCTGTCTGAAATCGATCAAACATGCAATCAAGATGTACTGGTAATTATTGGTGATTGGTATGCAAAAGTTGGAAACAAAGAGGAAGGAACCAAACAAACCAAACAAGCCATTCGTCCAGGTGGACTCATAGGAATCAGAGCCATCGCACAGCGACCGCAGGGGTTCCTCATTGGGCTGTGAGCCACAAATCTGAGTTCTAAACCACCAGCCATTCGGAGGGAGAAAGACAGGGCTTTCTACTCCCATAAAGAGTCTCACAAACTCACAGGAGCAGTTCTACTCTGTCCTGTAGAGTTGCTATGAGAGAGGAACAGTAGTTGGACAATATGGTCTTGGTGATAGAAACGAAGTTTGAGATCACAATAGAATTTTGAAAGAACAACGACTTGTTGATCTCACAAATGCCTTTTTTCGACAATATGAAAGGTGATTAAACACATGGACTTCTTCAGAGATGGAACACACACAAATCAATCTGACAACATCTAAGGGAGTAGCTCAGCATCAGCAACTAGAACCAGGCCAGGGACTGACTGTAGAACAGACCATCAACTGCTTATATGTACGTTCAGGTTAAAGATGAAGAAAATTGAAACAAGTCCACAAGAGCCAAAATACAGCTTTGAGATATCCCACCTGAATTTTGGGAATATCTCATGAACATGTTTTTTGTTAAAAGCACTTTATTGGGGGCTCTTACATCTCTTATAACAATCCATACACCAATTGTATCAAACGCATTTGTTCATATGTTGTCATCATTTCAAAACATTTTCTTTCTGCTTGAACCCTTGGTATCAGCTCTTCTTTTTACCCTCCCTCCCTCACCCTCCCTCCCTTGTGAAGCCCTGATAAATTATACATTATTATTTTCATATCTTACCCCACCCACTGTCTCCCTTCACCCATGTTTCTGTTGTTTGTCCCCCTGGGGGGGGGGCAGATTTGATACACTGAACACTAATGACTGAAGGCCTCAGGAGCCGTGACAGGCATCAAAAACATCAATCATGAAGCAAGCAAAAGGTCATTAAAGAGAGAGGAAAGAGACCAAAGTGGCTATCAGAAGAAACTTTTAAACTTGCTTTTAATTGTAGAGTAGCTAAGGTATATGGAAGAAATGATGAAGTAAAAAAGTTGAACAGAAATTTCAAAGGGCAGCTTGAGACAAAGCAAAATAGCACAATGAAATGTGCAGAGACCTGGAGTTAGAAAACCAAAAAGGAAGAGCACGCTCAGCATGTCTTAAACTGAAAAACACTCAAGGAAAAATTCAAGCCTGGAACTGCAATATTGGAAGATTCCATGGGCAAAATATCGACTGATGTAGGAAGCACCAAAAGAAGATAGAATACACAGAGTAACCGAACCAAAAGAAGTGGCCAACATCTAACCATTTCAAGATCAAGAACCAGTGGTACTGAAGCAAGAAGTCCAAGTTGCACCGACAACACTAACCAAAAACAAGGCTCCAGGAATTGATGAAATACCAATTTAAATGTTTCAATAAGCTGACGAAGCCCTGGAAACACTTACTCTTCTATGCCAGGAAATGTGGAAGATAGCTTCTTAACCAACTGACTGGAGGGTACCTATTTTTATACCCACTCCAAAGAAAGGCAACTACACAGAAAGCTGAAATTATAGAACAATATTATTAATATTACACGCAAGTAAAATTTTGCTGAAGATTATCCAACAATGCTTGCAGCAGTATATTGACAGGGAACTGCCAGACGTTCATGCCAGATTCAGAAAAGTATGTAGAACAAAGGAAATCATTGCTGATGTCGGATGGATCTTGGCAGAAAGTAGAGAATATCAGAAAGGTGTTTACTTGTGTTTTCATAGCCTATGCCAAGGCATTTGTGTGGATCAAAACAAACTATGGAAAAACTTAGAAGAATGGGAATTCCAGAACACTTTGTGTTTATGCGGAACTCACACATGGATGAACTGAACAGGAAAAATAACATAATTTAAAATCAGGAAAGGAAAAAAAAATCAGGAAAGGTATGTGTCAGGACTGTATCTCATCATACTTATTCAACCTGTATGCTGAATAAATCATCAGAGAAGCAAGATTATATGAAGAAGAATGCATAATCAGGATTGGAGGAAGACTTATTAACAAGGCTCGATATGCAGATGACAAAACCTTGTTTGCTAAAAGCGAGGACTTCAAGCACCTGCTGATGATAATCAAGGATCGCAGCCTTCAGTATGGATTACAACTCAATGTAAAGAAGACCAAACTCCTCACAACTGGACCACTAGCTAACATGATAAATGGAGAAGAGGTTGAAGTTGTCTTGCTTGCATCCACAATCAATGCTTGTGAAAGTAGCAAACAGCATGTTGCATTGGGTAAATTTGCTGCACAAGCCCTCTTCAGGGTACTTAAAAGTAGGGATTTTAAGGACTGAGGTGTGCCTGACACTTGCCATGGTATTTTCAGTAGTCCCATATGCATGTGACAGTTGGACACTGACCAAGGAAGACCAAAAAGAAGCAATGCATTTGAACTGTGGTGCTGGCGAAGAATATGGTTGAAGTACTGTAGACTGCCAAAAGGACAACCAAGTGTATCTTGGAAAACATACAGCCAGAGTGCTCCTTAGAGGCCAAGGTGGAGAGACTTTGTCTTATGTACTTTGGAAATGTTGTCAGGAGAGACCAGTCCTTCTTGGTACAAAAGAGAGGAGTCTCAAACTGAGATGGGCGTGACACAGCGGCCACACGATGGCCTCAGGCAAAGGGGAAATGTGAGGACGGCACTGCTTTGTTCTGTGGTACATGGGGTCTCTATGGATTGGAACTGACTGGTGGCACCTAAAAACAACTACAACATATATTAATACTTGCAATATGCCAGGCACTGTCCTAATTGTAAGTATAAAGCATGTTTCAAATCTATTTTCTTCTTTTAGATGTAAAAACTGGCATAGAAAGGTTAAATAAAAATGTGTACAAGGTTAAAATTATTAAGTAACAGGCCCGTGATTTAGGTCCTGGGGCCCGATTTTAGGCCTAATTCTCCTAACCACCATGAGTGATTTACAAGAGGTAATTGTAAGAAAGAGAGCAAAAGTAATGGAGGATGTAGAACAGTGTGCAGTGTCCTAAGATCTCTATTTTCCTCAGCACAGAAGACAGGAAACAGAAGAAGTGTTTGGATTTTATACCATGTGTAAAGGCAAAGATGAGAAACAAAAGCAGACAGACGCATTATCTCTAAGATAATTTCCTCTTACAATATTGCACAATTCCACAGATAGTATTCTGATAGGGCACACAGAGGGAAGAAGCTTGAGAAAAAGGTCTCTAGTTATTTCAACAATTCAACAGGTTGTATATTTTAAAAGACTTAGATTTAAGATGTCCATGAGTTCCAATTTGAACTCCTACCTGTGTACTCTATCATCACAACTTCCATACTTGATTACCATAATACCACCTGTGTACTCTATCATCACAACTTCAATACTTGATTACCATAATACCACCTGTGTACTCTATCATCACAACT